TTTATCTTTTATTAAAATCATTATAATTTCATTTTTTTTATCGTGAGAAATCAGAGAAAAAAAAAAGAAAAAAAAAATATGGAAGCACCATTGTGGACTCTCTCTCTTGCAATCTATCCTTGCAACAATGAAGCATCTAATCAAATCAGCATTATTTATTGCATTGAATGTAATTAATACAATTAATGCAATTCATACAATTAATTAATACAATTAATGCAATTCATTAGCAATTAATTAATACAATTAATCAACTTCATTAGCAATTAATTAATACAATTAATTAACTTCATTAGCAATTAATTAATACAATTAATCAACTTCATTAGCAATGAATTAATACAATTAATCAACTTCATTAGCAATTAATTAATACAATTAATCAACTTCATTAGCAATTAATTAATACCAATTTTTGAGAGGAGGATTTGAGCAAGACAATTTATTTAATTATTAATTAATTATTTTTTTTTTGGAGGGGTAAAGAATATGCAAATTAATTAAAAAACTTATTCACTTATAGAAAGGAGAGAAAAAAAAATTACATATATATTTAAAAAAAAAATGAAAAATTCAAAAGTTGAATTAAAATTAGACTAGATAAAATCAGAACATTTATTTACACTGGTAAAATATCTTTCTTTTTCTTCTTTTCCAAAAAAAAAAATGAAGTGGATTTTTTTTTTTATAATTAAGAAAAGAAGGGAAATATCAATTAAAATTATTATATTATATTAATTAATATAATATATTTTTTTTAAATCTTTAATCTCTCTTTTACATTCATTTATTTAATTAAATGAATTCATTCTATCATATAAATTGGAAAGAGAGAAAAAAATATATATATTTCCCCCTTAAAAAAAATGAAGAAAAAAAAAATTAATTAAGCGAAAAACCGCTACATTAAACCAAGGCGGAAAAAAATCGCTAATTTGGTCGAGCAGTTTTTCCTTAATTTCAATCCTCTCTTTTCTTATCCATCCTTTTCTCTGATTCTCTTTTCTTTCCACTATCCTATCCATCTTTTTCTCTCCATCCTTGTCTATCCTTATCCATCCTTTCACTATCGTTTCCTTCTGTCTTTTTAATGGAATTATTTAAGGTGTGTTTAGTCCTTTTTTTCAATCCTTATTCGCACAACGATCGACTGTTATTCGCCCCTCATTTCTAATCTCTCTCTCTCCCTCTCTCTATTTTCATCTCCTTTTATCCTATTCATCCTCCTCCCTCTCTCCTCCTCCTCCTTCCTCGCATCTTCCTCAAACCCTTCCAAACTTTACCTAAACCATCAAAATCCTTAAAACACCCTAAAAACACCCTTAAAACTCTTCCAAACGTTTCCAAAACCTTCCTTAAAAAAAAAAAACTTTTCCTCATAAAAAACAACCCTCTCCTCAAAAGCGCATTTCCTCTTAGACACCCTTTAAAAAAAAAAACACAAAAAACACACCTCTTTAAAAACACACCCTTAAAAAACACCCTTAAAATCCCTAATTCCTAATACAAACTTGGCACCTGGACACTCTCGTCCTCAAACTGCCTGCCTTCAGCGTCTCCGACACCGGCCGCGAAAACTGAGCCGCGTCCTCGATCGTCGCCAACCAGAAACTAAACTTATTGGCGAAGTAATGGCAGGTTCCGCGGGCGCCGTTGCACTCGATGAAGGGCGTGGCGCGGAAGTCCTCCAGACAGGAACCGGGGCTGCTCAGGGACTGACCGCCTCCCTCGGCGCCGGCGGCTGTGTGCTGTGTTGGGAAGGGAGGGGGGAGGAGGGGAGAGGGGAGGGGGGAAGGGAGGGAGGGAAGAGGGGGGGAGGGAGAGGGGAGGGGGGGGGGGGGGAGAAAGTGGTGTTGGAATGAGACGTCCTTTAAAATTTCCTTAATATCTCCCTATAATGGACTTAAAAATCCCTAGAAGCCCTTTAAAAACCCTAAAAATCCTTTAAGAACCCTAAAAACCCTTAAAAATCCTTTAAGAACCCTAAAAATCCTTAAAATCCCTTAAAAGACCCTAAACAAACCCCTTAAAATCCTTTAAAATCCCTAAAAACCCTTAAAATCCCTAAAAACCCTTAAAACCCCTTAACATCCCTAAAAACCCTTAAAATCCCTAAAAACCCTTAAAATCCCTAAAAATCCCAAAAATCCCTTAAGATCCCTTACCATGACGAAGGAGTAGCCGATCCACAGACCCGTCCAACCGCTAGGGCAGTCAGGGATGCTCAGGGCCCTTAAAAATCCCTAAACCCCTAAAGAACCCTTAAGCCCTAAATAAAACCCCTAAAAACACTTTAAAAATCCTTAAAAAACTAAAATCCCTAAAAAAAAGATCCCTAAAAATCCTTTAAGAACCCTAAAAATCCTTAAAATCCCTTAAAAGACCCTAAACAAACCCCTTAAAATCCTTTAAAATCCCTAAAAACTCTTAAAATCCCTAAAAACCCTTAAAACCCCTTAACATCCCTAAAAACCCTTAAAATCCCTAAAAACCCTTAAAACCCCTTAAAATCCTTTAAGAACCCTTAAAATCCCTTAAAAGCCCTTACCATGACGAAGGAATAGCCGATCCACAGACCCGTCCAACCGCTAGGGCAGTCAGGGATGCTCAGGGCCCTTAAAAATCCCTAAACCCCTAAAGAACCCTTAAGCCCTAAACAAAACCCCTAAAAAAAATTAAAATCCCTTACAAGACCCTAAACAAACCCCTTAAATTTCTTTAAGAACCCTAAAATCCTTAAAATCCCTAAAATCCCTTAAAACCCTAAAAACCCTTAAAAACACTTAAAAATCCCTAAAAATCCCTTAAAATCCCTTACCATGACGAAGGAGTAGCCGATCCACAGACCCGTCCAACCGCTAGGGCAGTCAGGGATGCTCAGGGCCCTTAAAAATCCCTAAAACCCCTTAAAACCCCTAAAATCCCTTAAAAAAACCCTAAAATCCCTTAAAATCCCTTACCATGACGAAGGAGTAGCCGATCCACAGACCCGTCCAACCGCTAGGGCAGTCAGGGATGCTCAGGGCCTGGCTGTGCACCGCGATCACGTTGGCAGGAGCCTCGCACACCACGCACCTGGAATGGGAATGGGAGTTAAGGGGGGGAGGGGTTTGGGGGGGTGGGGGGGAGGGGGGAATGAAGGGGGGGAGGGGGAGTTAAGGGGGGGGTGGGGGAATGAAGGGGGTGGGGGGGATTAAGGGGGAGGAGGGGTTTGGGAATTAGGTGTGGGGGAGGGGGGAGGGGGAGGAGGGGTTTGGGAATTAAGGGGGGGGGGAGGGGGGGGAATGAAGGGGGGGAGGGGGAGTTAAGGGGGGGGGAGGGGAGTTAAGGGGGGGGGGAGGGGGAATTAAAGAGGGGGATTAGGTGAGGGGGGAGGGGGGTGGGGGGAAATTAGGGAGGGGGGGGGTGAAGGGGGGGTTTAATCACCTCTTTTAACCCTTATATCACCCTTAATTACCCTTAATCACCCTTAATTACTCACCTGGAGATATAGGGCCTAATTGCCGAATCAGCGACGGCCCTTAAATTACCCTTAATTGCCATTAATCACCTTTAATCACCCTTAAAAAACTTAAACCACTCTTAATTACCCTAAATCGCCCTTAATCACCCTTAATTACCCTAAATCGCCCTTAATCACCCTTAATCACCCTTAATTACCCTTAATTACTCACCTGGAGATATAGGGCCTAATTGCCGAATCAGCGACGGCCCTTAAATTACCCTTAATTGCCATTAATCACCTTTAATCACCCTTAAAAAACTTAAACCACTCTTAATTACCCTAAATCGCCCTTAATCACCCTTAATTACCCTAAATCGCCCTTAATCACCCTTAATCACCCTTAATTACCCTTAATTACTCACCTGGAGATATAGGGCCTAATTGCCGAATCAGCGACGGGCATCATAGGGATAGGATCGTTAGTCGAGAGCCAATAGGACTTGTCGTTGCGGCTTGCATAGTTGCAGACGTTGTTGAAATCACAGAACATGAAGGGCATCGTACTGAAGCGGCGGACGCAGGAACCGGCCAGGCCTGCAATGGGAGATGGAGGGGGGGGTGAGAGAGTGTGGGGGGGAGGGGGGGAGGGTGTGAGAGGGTGGGGGGGTGAGGGGGAGATGAGGGAGTTGTTGAAATCACAGAACATGAAAGGCATCGTACTGGACGCAGGAACCGGCCAGGCCTGCAATGGGAGATGGAGGGGGGGGGGGTGAGAGGTGTGGGGGGAGGGGGTGATGGGGGGAGGGGGAGGGGGGAGGGGGAGGGGGAGGGGGGGAAGGGTGAGGGGTGAGGGGTGAGGTGGGGGTGGGTGGGGAAGGGGTGAGGGAGATGCTTGCAATGGGAGATGAGGAAGATGAGGGAGATGCTTGCAATATGAGTTGAGGTGAGGGGAGATGCTTGCAATGATGCTTCCCTTCCCCCCCATCTATCCCCTCCCTCCCCTCTTTCCCTCCCCTCCCTTCCCCACCACTTACCCAAATCCTGGTGATGCGCCTTCTCATTCCCCTCGACGTAGAGGAGCGAATAGCCTTCCCAGAGCCGGAAATGCCCAGCCTCCCTTTTTCCCTCTCTCCCTCCACTCTCCCTTCCTTTCCCCCTCCCTTTCCCTTTCCCTTTCCCTCTTCCCTCTTCCCTTTCCCCCTCCCTTCCCCTTCCCTCTTCCCCATCACTTACCCAAATCCTCTTTCCCTCTTCCCTCTTCCCCTTCCCTCTCCCTCCCTTTCCCCTTTCCCTTTCCCTCTCCCTTCCTTTCCCTTCCCCCCCATCTATCCCCCCTCCCTTCCCCACCACTTACCCAAATCCTGGTGATGCGCCTTCTCATTCCCCTCGACGTAGAGGAGCGAATAGCCCTCCCTCTCCCCTTCCCTTTCCCTCTTCCCCCTTCCCTTCTCCCCTCTTTATCACTCTCTCCTCTCTTCCCCTCCCTTTCCCCTCCCTCCCTTCCCCATCACTTACCCAAATCCTCCCCTCCCTCCCCTTCTTCCCTCTTCCCTTCTCCCCCTCTTTATCACCCTCCCTTCCCTTTACCCCTCCCTCCCCTCTCCCCCTCCCTTCCCCTTCCCCCCTTCCCCCCCCCCTTCCCCACCACTTACCCAAATCCTGGTGATGCGCCTTCTCATTCCCCTCGACGTAGAGGAGCGAATAGCCTTCCCAGAGCCGGAAATGCCCAGCCTCGCACCTTGGCACTATCGACGTCTGAGAGTGCCTGACGATCAGAGTGCCAGAGAAATATTGTTCTTGTTCCGAGCAGGCTCTCCCTGGCTCTCCCTTGTTGCCGTCGAAGCCTCGCGTGCCCTGGGGAAAGGGAGAAAAGGGTGATGAAAAAGGGAGATGAGAAAACGGGGGAGAAAAGGGGGGGGGGGAAGGGTGATGAGAAAGGGTGATAAAAAAGATGAGAAAAGGGTGATGAAAAAAGAGATGAAGAGGGTGAGAAAAAGGGAGATAAGAAAGGGTGATGAAGGGAGAGAAAAGGGTGATGAAAAAGGGAGATGAGAAAACGAGGGAGAAAAGGGTGATGAAAAAGGGGGAGGAAAAGGGTGATGAGAAAAAGGGAGATAAGAAAGGGTGATGAAAAAGGGAGATGAGAAAAAGGGAGATAAGAAAGGGTGATGAAGAAGGGAGAGAGAAAAGGGTGATGAAAAAGGGAGAGAGAAAAGGGTGGAGAGAAAGAGAGATGAGAAAAGGGTGATAAAAAAGGGAGATGAGAAAAGGTGATAAGAAAGGGAGATAAGAAAGGGTGATGAAAAAGGGAGAGGGAAAAGGGTGAAAAAAGGGAGAAAATGGGGGAAAAAAGGGAGATGAGAAAAGGGGGGGGAAGGGAGATGAGAAAAGGGGGAAAAAAGGGAGTGAGAAATGGTGAGAAAAGGGGAGGAAAAAGGGAAATAAGAAAAGGGAGATAAGAAAGGGTGATGAAAAAGGGAAATGATAAAAAGAGAAATGAGAAAGGGAGATGAAGAGGGTGAGGAAAAAGGGAGATGAGAAAGGGTGATAAGAAAGGGTGATGAAAAAGGGAGATGAGAAAGGGTTAGAAAAAGGGGAGAAAAAAGGGAGATGAAGAGGGTGAGAAAAAGGGAGATGAAAAAGTCGATAAAGGCGGAAAGGAGGAAAAGGGTGAGAAAAGGGAGATAAGAAAGGGTGATAAAAAAGATGAGAGAAAGGGAGATGAATAGGGAGAAAAAGGATGAGAAAGGGAGGAGGAAAAGGGTGAAAAAGGGTGAAAAGGGTTATAAAAAGGGAGGAGGAATAGGGTGAAATAAGGGAGATGAAAAGAGTGATAAAGAATGGAAGAGGTGAAAAAACAGTGAGAAAGGGAGATAAAAAATGTGAGAAAGGGTGAAGGGAGGAGGAAAAGGGTGAAAAAGGTAGAAAGGGTGATGCGTAGGGTGAAAAAGGGAGATAAATAAAGCGGAAAGGGTGAAATACGGAATACATTGGTCGCGTTCTTTACAAGAGTCTCTCTCTCTCTCTCTCTCTCTCTCTCTCTCTCTCTCTCTCTCTCTCTCTCTCTCTCTCTCTCTCTCTCTCTCTCTCTCTCTCTCCCTCCCTCCCTCTCCCTCTCGCTCGCTCTCCCTCACTCACCGGCAGTCCGGGGGCGCCGTCGAAGCCCCTGTCTCCCTTCATGCCCCTGGGTCCCTCGGGCCCGGGCAGGCCGTCGAAGCCGCGCTGGCCCTTCTCGCCGGGCATGCCGTCCATGCCCGGGCTGCCGATGGGCCCGACGGGGCCGATGGGGCCCTGGGGGCCCGGCAGGCCCCTCTGGCCCTTGGTTCCCGGGATGCCGGGGCGCCCTGCGGGTCCGGGCAGGCCGGGGTCGCCCTTCGAGCCCGGGGCGCCTGGGCGGCCGACGAGGCCGGGGATGCCGGCGAAGCCCTTGGGGCCGGGGATGCCCTTCTCGCCCGGGAGGCCTGGCAGGCCGCTGTTGCCCTTCTCGCCCTTGGCTCCCGGGGGGCACGGCAGCCCCGGGGGCCCCACGGGCCCTACGTCGCCCTTGAGTCCAGCTGCGCCGGGCAGGCCGGGGGGGCCCGGCAGGCCCTTCTCCCCGGGCAGGCCCTGGAAGCCCTTCTCGCCCACGGGCCCAGGCCGCCCGTCCTGCCCTGGCAGGCCCGGCTGCCCCTCGGAGCCCCTGTCGCCCTTGGGCCCAGGCAGACCCGGCGGCGCGGGGTTGCCGGGCGCGCCCCTCTGTCCCGGAAGGCCAGGGAAGCCGAGCTCGCCCTTAGGGCCAGGCTGGCCGTCGAAGCCGTTGCGCCCCGGCTTGCCAGGCAGGCCGGGCAGCCCCTTCTCGCCCTTCATGGTCACGCCCGGCACGCCCACGGGGCCCCTCGGCCCGGGCAGGCCCTGCGTGCCCTTCAGCCCGTCGATTCCGGGCTGGCCTGGGGCGCCGGGGAAGCCCTGGTCGCCCTGCGGGGGGGGGAGAAAAGGGGGTGAAATCAGGGCTGGAAATTAGGGCTGAAAATAAGGGGTTCAATTGAGTTTAATTTAAAATTGAAAAATAAGATTCAAAAATAAAGATAAAAACGTTCATTCTCTCTTCCTTTCTCTCTCTCTCTCTCTCTCTCTCTCTCTGATTTCCTCTCTCTCTCTCTCTCTCATTTCTCTCTCTCTCTCTCTCTCTCTCTCTCATTTCTCTCTCTCTCTCTTTCCCTCTCTCTCTCTCTGATTTCCTTTCTCTCTCTTTCTTTCTTTCTCTCTCTCTCTTCCTTCCTCTCTCTCTCTCTCTCTCATTTCTCTCTCTCTCTCTCTCCCTCTCTCTCTCTGATTTCCTCTCTCTCTTTCTCTCTCTCTCTCTCTCTCTCTCTCTCTCTCTCTCTCTCTCTCTCTCTCTCTCTATCTATCTATCTATCTATCTATCTCTATCACTATCTATCTCTATCTCTCTCTCTCTATCTATCTATCTATCTATCTCTATCTATCTATCTCTATCTCTCTCTCTCTCTCTTATCTCTCTCTCTCTCTCTATCTATCTATCTATCTCTCTCTCTCTCTCCCTCTCATCTCCCTCTCTTTCTCCCTCCCTCTCTCTCTCTCTCCCTTACCTTTTCACCCTGAGCGCCAGGGAGGCCATCCTGTCCATTAAATCCTCTCTCGCCCTTAATCCCAGGGAAACCTGGTTCTCCCTTACTCCCCTTAAGTCCTGCGGGACCTGGGAAACCTGGCGGACCTGAACTGCCCTTGTCGCCGATGGGACCTGGCAAGCCGTCGATACCAGGGCGACCTGTTTAAGAAAAAAAAAAAAAAAGTGTGTGATTATATTTAGGGTGATTTAGGGTGGGTTTAGGGTGGTTTTAGGGAGGTTTTAGGGTGGTTTTAGGGTGGGTTTAGGGTGGTTTTAGGGCGGTTTTAGGGTGGTTTTAGGGTGGTTTAGGGTGGTTTTAGGGTGGTTTAGGGTGGTTTTAGGGTGGTTTAGGGTGGTTTTAGGGGGTTTAGGGTAGTTTTAGGGAGGTTTTAGGGAGGTTTAGGATGGGACCTGGCAAGCCGTCGATACCTGGGCGACCTGTTTAAAAAAAAAAAGGTGTGTAATTATATTTAGGGCGGTTTTAGGGTGGTTTTAGGGTGGTTTAGGATGGTTTAGGGAGGGTGGTGGTTTTCATCTCTCTCTCCTCTCTCTCTCTCTCTTTATCTCTCCATCCTTCCCTCTCTCCTTCTCCCTTTATCTCCCAATCTCCCTTAATCTCTCCCTCTCTACCTTTATCTCTCCTTCATTTCCTCTCTCCCTCCTCCCCTCTCTCTCTCTCTCCTCCTTTTATCTCTCCCTCATTCCCTCCCTCCCTCTCTCTCCCTTTGTTTCTTTATCTCTCCTTCTCTCCCTTTATCTCTACCTTCTTCCCTCTTCTGCCTCTTTCTCCTTTCATCCCTCCCTTTATCTCTCTCTCCCTCTCCCTCTCCCTCTCTCTCTATCTCTCTCCCTTTATCTCAATAAAACAAACAAACAAACAAAAACACAGCCACTCACCCGGCAGTCCCTGATTTCCCTTAGGTCCGTCTCTGCCTCTGTCTCCCTTTATCTCTCTCTCCCTCTCCCTCTATCTCTCCCTCTATCTCTCCCTCTCCCTTTATCTCTCCTTCTATCTCTCTCTCCCTCTATCTCTCCCTTTATCTCTCGCCTTTTTATCTCTCGCCTTTTTATCTCTCCCTTAAAAAAAAACACTCACCTGGCAGTCCCTGATTTCCCTTAGGTCCGTCTCTGCCGTCGAAGCCTCTGTCTCCCTTTATCTCTCTCTCCCTCTCCCTCTATCTCTCCTTTTATCTCAAAAAACAAACAAAAACAAACAAAAACAAACAAAGACAAACAAAAACACAGCCACTCACCCGGCAGTCCCTGATTTCCCTTAGGTCCGTCTCTGCCGTCGAAGCCTCTATCTCCCTTTATCTCTCCCTTTATCTCTCCTTCTATCTCTCTCTCCCTCTCCCTCTATCTCTCCTTTTATCTCAAAAAACAAACAAAAACAAACAAAAACAAACAAAGACAAACAAAAACACAGCCGCTCACCCGGCAGTCCCTGATTTCCCTTAGGTCCGTCCCTGCCGTCGAAGCCTCTGTCGCCCTTCAACCCCGAAGGACCTGGCAAGCCTGGCGGACCTGGAATGGGGTCACAGTCGTCTCCTGGAAGACCTGGAAGACCTGATAAGCCCTGGAAAAAAAAATAATAAATAAATAAATAAAAAATAATAAATAAAATAATATAAATAAAATACAATAAGATAAAATAAATAAAATAATAGAATAAGATAAAATGAATAAAATAGAATAAATAAAATAAATAAAATAAAATAAATTAAAATGAAATAAATAAAATAAATAAAATAGAATAAGATAAAATGAATAAAATAGAATAAGATAAAATGAATAAAATAGAATAAGATAAAATGAATAAAATAGAATAAGATAAAATAAATAAAATAGAATAAAATAATATAAATAAAATAGAATAAATAAAATAGAATAAATAAATTAAATTAAATTAAATAAATAGAATAAATAGAATAAATAAAATAAAATAA